TAGCAAGAGCAGTTGTAGAAACTTCCAATCATCACCATCATCATCATCATCAAAGAAAATATAGGCACAATTAAGCAAGTTTTCAGCAAATTTCAGGTAAAAACACAACAGATATTTATAGGTTTTTTTATTTATTTAAAAAAATTTCAGCTTTCATACACCTCAAGATTAACTGATCAATTTAATTTACTTATTTGGGTTTTTATAGAACAGAATCTATAAAATGATGTACCATCATCAACACCACCTTCAAAACCAACACCAACACCAACACCAAGGAAAGAACATCCACTCTTCTTCTTCTGCTTCTTCAAGGATGTCTATTCCTTCGGAAAGGCATTTGTTTCTACAGGGTGATCAAAATGGTTCTGGAGATTCAGGACTTGTCCTCTCAACTGATGCCAAGCCTAGACTCAAATGGACGCCCGATCTCCATGAGCGATTTATCGAAGCAGTTAACCAGCTAGGAGGAGCAGACAGTGAGTGTATATAATACTTTGCATGAAATCAATTTACAAGGCATACAATCTAAACTCCCAGCTGATCATTATTCCAATGTTATGATATTTCCAATGCAGAGGCTACTCCTAAAACAGTAATGAAACTTATGGGGATTCCAGGCCTTACATTATACCACCTCAAGAGTCATCTTCAGGTACTTCCAACAAGTTTGTCAATAACATGTTTGTCAATTGGTCCCTATAAGCAATGGCTTTTAATTTCTTTTATTCACTTTCTTTAAAAAGATTCAACAATAAAGTAATTCTTTCAATTCTTCATTTTCTTGATCTGCAAGCAAAAAAGTGAAACTTCCTAATCCAATCATGTCTTATCCTCTCAAGTGTGAGATACAAGCAACTCCACCCTTTCATCTCACACTTTTGGGGTCTGGGGGTTAAGGGCTGGTTTCTCTTATTGTTTGACTAGTACATATGCTAACTTCACACCCCCATTTTCTTTTTGGTCTAACAGAAGTACAGGCTTAGCAAGAATCTGCATGGACATGCTACAAGTGGGACCAGCAAAATTGGTAGGCAGACTAATCTGTTCAAGTCCTTTTAAGATACTTCCATTGTTTTACAGGAAATTTAAGAATTAATTCAATGTTTGCACCCTGCTATTGTATAGGTACAGTTCCAGTGGCAGCAGAGAGATTATCTGAAGCAAATGGAACCCACATGAGCAATATGAGCTTTGGACCCCAAGCAAATAAGTAAGAACACAAATAGCTAGTCATTTACGATGTTTGTCTGTTTTTGTTTATCATTTGAGCATTGGACCCCAATGAGACTTGCAATAACAATGGTATTCTGAATTGCAGAGGGTTACATATAAGTGAAACACTACAGATGCAAATTGAAGTGCAGAGAAGGCTACATGAACAGCTTGAGGTACGGCACCTTCTTAAAACTGTTGATAGACAAAAGACCATAATGAAATGGATTTTCAGCTTCTTTTTTCTTTTTCTAAACTTTTGACAAACGATAGGATATTTGCAAAACACAAGTTTGATGATTTGTTGTGAACCGAACCAGGTTCAGCGACACTTACAACTTCGTATAGAGGCTCAAGGAAAATACCTACAATCAGTGCTGGAGAAAGCCCAGGAGACATTGGGAAGACAGAACTTAGGTTCAGTGGGACTCGAAGCTGCCAAAGTTCAACTCTCTGAACTGGTGTCCAAAGTATCCACCCAATGCTTGAACTCTGCCTTTACGGAGCTGAAAGAATTACAGGGATTGTGCCCCCAGCAAACACAAACAACCCAGCCCACCGATTGTTCAATGGACAGCTGCCTGACGTCCTGCGAAGGATCTAAAAAGGACCAAGAGATACACAACAGTGCAATGGGGCTAAGAGCTAATTATAATGGCAGGGAGCTCCTGGATGAAAAAGAACCCATGCTACAGAAGCCTGAGCTTAAGTGGTGTGAAGAACTAAAAGAGAATAACATGCTTCTTTCCTCCATAAGTAATGATGCAGCAAAAAGAATGTTTCCTGTGGAAAGAAGGTCAAGTGACTTATCCATGAGCATTGGATGTCAAGGAGAAAGATGGAACATTGATAGCAACGGAAACTCTGAAGAAAGATTGAAAGGAAGAAGCACGGATGGCAGCTTTCTAGACCGTACAAACAACCGGGCGGATTCAGCTAAAGCAGAGACTGAGAAAGTTTCTCGAGGTTATAGATCAGTGCCTTATTTTGCAGCAAAACTAGACCTAAATACTCACGATGATAACGATGCTCCTTCAAGTTGCAAACAGTTTGACTTGAATGGTTTTAGCTGGAGCTAAGAGGGCTTACAGTGAGTGAAGGGATAAAAACACTGCAATTTCAACTTCATTCCCAAAGGATAGAAAGCATGACAGCATGCTGCTCTCTCCTTCTGAGAATTGGCCAATGGCCAGGGAACAAATTGTTCAAGCTGAAAGTAATAAGTTGCAGGACAAAGATAGAATGCTCTAATTTGGAATTACATAGCAAGTAGCCCAGGAAGATGTAATATCTTATATAAGATTTGAGAGTTCCAAGATTACAAGCAGAATGTCTTCTTGATCTAAAGTGCAGTAAGCTCTTATGTTCAACCACCAACTGACTGTATCAAGATGAGTTATGCAAATTCAACTAAAACCTTCTACATCAAGACACAAGTAATCAAGTTCACTGTTTAAGGAGTGAAAATTGTAGTGGACCTACACAGTTTCTAGTTTTGTAATTCATTATTCATAAGGAAACGAAGAAATAATTAACAAATAAAATAAAATAAAAGGAAGACAAAGTCTGAAAAAAATATATATATATATATAGAGAGTGAAAATTGTAGTGGACCTACACAGTTTCTAGTTTTGTAATTCATTATTCATAAGGAAAAGAAGAAATAATTAACAAGTAAAATAAAATAAAAGGAAGACAAAGTCTGACAAATATATATATATTCCTGTACTTTTGACTTAAAAAATAAAAGTATTTTTTCTGTTGTGCATTGGTTTAAATATTTTTAGTGTACGTTATGAAAAATTAGAGTACTTTAACCTAATTACTTTCAAACTTTGGTCGGGGTGTCCTTTACTAGATAAATGAATGTATGTGATGCTTACCCTTATGTTTTGGTGTAACTCACTTTCAAATTGACACACTAGACCTTTACTAGGTCAGTGGCTCAATGGCCAAGACTTGTCAATCCTATTGTCGCTCCAAATTACTTGCAGGTCAAGAAATCTTTTCCCAACTAGGAATGCATAATGATCATTATTGACGGATTGTTCATTTCAATCATAATGTTTTTTTTTTTTTTTTTTTTTTTTTTTTTTGAAGACCTTTCTTATTGAGAGGGGCGATAGCATACTAAACTCACACACACTACACGGATGCTAGGACTCGAACCCAGGACCTTGCCTGAGGGAGTAAATACTCCAAACCACTACACTAGTGGGTCCTTTGCATCATAACGGTTAATTTATATTTACAGCCAGTGGCGGATCTAGGATTCAAAAGTCAGGTAGGCGAAACTTACCTTAAAAACTCGACGGTACAAGTGAATTTCATTCATAAAAATAAAAAGATACACTTAGTCAGGGGGGACGTAATGAGCCTTACCCTCAAATATGCATCTCTATACATAAATAAAAGCTTAACAAAAAAAAGCTAAAAAAAAACAAATAAATGCAATGCAATACAAAACTAAATTATTTAAATCTAAAACTTTACCCTATGAGGCTTAAAAATCTTAAATTCCTAAATTATCTCTGCATTATCCCTCAAATATGCATCTCTATACATAAATAAAAGCTTAACAAAAAAAAGCTAAAAAAAAACAAATAAATGCAATGCAATACAAAACTAAATTATTTAAATCTAAAACTTTACCCTATGAGGCTTAAAAATCTTAAATTCCTAAATTATCTCTGCATTATCCCTCAAATATGCATCTCTATACATAAATAAAAGCTTAACAAAAAAAAGCTAAAAAAAACAAATAAATGCAATGCAATACAAAACTAAATTATTTAAATCTAAAACTTTACCCTATGAGGCTTAAAAATCTTAAATTCCTAAATTATCTCTGCATTATCGATACTATTAGCAAACTCTCTTTCAATGTGGAGGATCATGCAGTCAGCAAGGAATTCATCAGCTATGGTGCTCCGAAGTCTATTCTTAATAATTCTCATACATGAAAAAGCTCGTTTTGTTGTTGCTGTAGAGACAGGAAGAGTCAACACCAATCGAATCAACCTGTAAAGCAAATGGTAGTTTTCTACCAAAGTTGTTTCCACCAATTGTTGACAGAACTGAGGAAGAGTGGTGATTCCGTTAAAGCATGGAAGGCGAAGCATATCATTTTGAAAATACCTCAACTCAATTTCTAAAGCTTTCAAGTCACTTGGAATGAAATCAGCAGGATAGAATTTCTCAGCAAGTTTACATAGATGCTCAATATTGAATGACTTGAAGGAATTACGAAGATCCAATACTGAGCTAAGAATAAGAAGTTCAATTGTTTGCTCTGGAAATCTGTCATTAACTCCCTCAACATGCAATCTATCACATCATTAAATACATCAATGCGATAGTAATGTTCAACTATAATAAAATCTTTTTGTTGACAAGAACGTTGTGTGCCCGTCATATAACAAGAACCCATATCAGGAACATTAACACCATGTAGTTCACAAAAGGATACCACATTCATAAATAAATCATCCCAACCATGTGCCCTTATATCTTGGAATTGCATTTTTGTGTTTTCAACAAAATTTAAAGCACTTACAATATCTTGAGTTTTTGTCTAAAACACTGGACAAAGAAAGTTGGTCAATCCCATAATTTTATCCATTAAGACCAACAAAAACACAAACTCAAAAGACATCATAGCAATATAGTTACTTTCTGCATCTCCACGAAATTGTTGGTTAGGTCCAAAATCACTGATTTCCTGAAGAAGTAACTTAGTCTCTTTAAATAAACTCATCAAACTTGTAATAGAGGAATAGTGAGAGCCCCAACTAGTGGCTCCAACTCGTTCCAAACTACGAGTTTGATTAAGTCCTCTACCTGTCTCAAGTTCCCAAGAATCCAACAACTCTTTGAGTTCAGCTTTTTGAATTAAATTTAACTCATTACGGCGCTTAGCAGAAGCACTAACAAAATTCACAATGTTAGTCAACATTGAAAAAAATCTCCATACAACTTTCACATCTTTAGCCGCGCCATTTAATACTAATTGCAAGCGATGAGCAAAGCAATGCACATAATTCACATATGGACAATCTTGAAGAAACAATGCTTGTAATCCATTCCATGAACCACGCATATTACTAGCACCATCATACCCTTGGCCACGCATGTTTTCCACTAGAATGTCATTATTATCAAGCACTTTGCATATCTCTTTTTTAAGAGTCAAGACATTAGTGTCTACAACACTCACAATATCGAAAAAGCATTCACGAATAAATCCATCACAATCAACAAATCTTAGAATTATAGCCATTTGTTCCTTACTGGATTCATCAAGTGACTCATCAACTAGAATGCAATAATAGTTCTTCCCAAGTTCTTCACAAATTTTCTTCTTCACCTTGGTAGCAAAAATATGCAAAATCTGTTTTTGTATGTCATGGGCAATATACTGAGCATTATGAGGAGCCTTATCTAGAACAACTTTCTCAACTTCTATATTCATTCTTGCAAAAGACTTCAAGATTTCAATGAAATTGCCCTGGTTAGATGAGTCAACAGATTCATTGCGACCTTAAAAAGCCAATGCTTGATTTGCTAGATACCTAATGCCCTCTATTGTGGTTGTAAGTTGCAACCGATTGTCCATCACTTGTTGCTTTGATTGCTTATCTACCACATTTTCAATATGAAGAGATGAGTTTTTTAAGCTAACCCACTTTTGCATAGCAAGATGATGTGGTGAATTTAGCTTGCCTACATGACTTTGAAATACACATTGATTACCACCAATTCTCTTCCAATTTTGAAATCCATGAATAGTAAAGGTTGAATGTGAGTGATTCATGTCAAATAGGAAGCAAGGAAAACAAAATGTCAAATCTTTAGCAACTGAATACTCAAGCCAAGGGAATTTACCAAACCACAATTTATTAAATCGACGTAAGTCTTGCCCTTCTAAATGGCTTGGATAGTCTTATAACTCCAGTTGACAAGGTCCTAAAATAATATAGGCTTTTCACACATTATCTTGTTCATTCACCAAATATTGGCATATTTGACGATATAATCCCGGATCACGCTCAAGATAATTGATATTAAAATCCTGACCACTATCGACTTTTTGGGTTTCAACTCTTTCAACTTGAGGCTCGACAATGGGAGAGTCAAGAAGATTTTGCTCATCACAAATGGGAGGCATTCTAGAAGATGATGACACCCATCATTCTTTTTCTTAAAAAAAGAGAACAAATTCTTTGTTTTCTTGGGGTTCCGATTGTGATCCGACATAATAAAAGATAACATATTTAATCAAACATCCCAACAAAAAATCAAACAATTTCTCATAATAGCATCAATGAATTTAATCAAACATTAACATACCAACAACAAATCAAACATATCAACAATACCAACATCAAATCAAACGTCTCAACAAAATTCTTAAAATCAAAAACCTAATTAATTTCAACAAAATCCCCAAATTATATTTCATTCTTAATTAAACCCTAGAAGACTCAATTTCAAATTAAAATTAAAACTAAGATGCATGCATTTATTTTAGGAATAACCCAATAGAAGAAGATAATTAAAGAGGAGAGAATAAGAAGAATACTTGTTTCCTCAGATCTGAGAAGAGAAGGGGCTGTCCACAATTGCACAGCCAAGACTATCGACTCGAGAAGAAGCTGCCGAAACTGTCTGGAATTGCACAGTCAAAAGCTATTTGGCTGCTTATAAGTTATGTTCCCCCTTTTTTAAAAGTTTGACTGGGCCATCCCATAACACAAGAGTGTGGGCTGGTTATAATTGTTTCCCTTTTTTTTTTTTTTTTTTTTTAATTTATAAAAGTTTGAGTGGGCTATAACACATGTGGGTAGTTTTACAAGGGCTGGGTATGCAAAGGTTTACACTATCACATGTGATGGCTAGAAATAACCTTGTTTATATATAGGTTTTTTTTAAAGTGAAAAAAATTGGGATAGGCTGCCCTGGTTGTAGAACCGCCACTATTCACAGCATCTGACAAAATACTGACAAGGCCAATGCATATGGTTTTTTTATATATTTATTTATGCATTCCCATGATGATCATTTTCTCCCAAATACAGGAGGATTTTTCCTTTCCTACTTTCTAACAATTTATTACCCTTATGAATGCAGAATGATCAATTACTGATAATTATTGACATGTTGTTCCTTTAAATCATATGGAATGCATAACGTGTTTCCAATTGCAAAATATTCAATCAAATTAAATGTCTGTAACGAAATGCATAAATAATTCACAACTAATAACAAAATTTATCAGAACACAATTTTCAGTAAGGGTTAACTGTCAATTTACCCCATGAATTTGTACGCTACTTTCAACTTGCACCCTCAACTTTGTTTTTTGGAAAATTAAGTACAAGAACTAATTTTTTTCGTCAATTGCCCCCTGCCATTTAAATCTCAACAGTTTATCCAATTTGCCTTTAAATATGAGGGCAAATTAGTCATTTTATATTTAAAATAATTAAATACTATAAAATAATATAAAATAATTGAATTTTAAAATAATAAAAAATCAATTTAAATAGAGAGAGAGAGAGAGAGAGAGAGAGAAGGGG